CATCACGTGTCACGTGACGTCATCCCCTAAAAGAGCACACTTCAAGGTCCTATATCTACAGAACTGGAAGTCCGATTTGGTTCAAACTTGGTATGCAAGTATTCCGGGACGTGTTATAGACGAAAATTGCAGTGACGTCATGATGACGTCATCGTGTGATTTTATTAAAATTATTCAAGTTTTGGACCTTTTACTCATATCTCATAAACGGAATGTGGCAAATTCGAAATTCCTTTTGTAACAGGTTTTTTAGGTCATAGATAGATGCCCAAAATTTCGTAAAATGTGTGACGTCATCATGACGTCATCAAAACCGTGATTTCTTTATTCACATATAAGGGTATGTCCGATCTTTATAAAACTTGGTGGGTAGGTAGGTATAGATAACAGCATTCGAAATCTGAAGTGACGTCATCATCACGTCATCATCTGATTTTTTATGAATTTTTCAAATTTTAATATTTTCGTCAAATTTTGCAAAAAATATATAAATACGGTCTGGTCGACTTTAAACCCTAGTGAGGTACCTTAGTGGAAAAATCGTGACACGGTGGACAAAAGCACCATTTTTTTACCAAAGCATCTCCATGGTATACCTTTTCGAAAAAAAGACGGACGCAAAAAAATGGATTATGGGAAGGGCATGTATGACGTCATTATGACGTCATCAGCTAATTATTACATGAAATATATATAAATTGATAATATCTTCTGAACTACAAACAACACAACAACAAAAGTTGCATCAAATGAAAGGGAACATCAAGATCTATACCAACAAGTGGTATGTCAGGGGCGTGGAATGTAGTAAAGGGTGGTTTTTGGGGGCCAAAAAACATTTTTTTTTGTCAAAAAACCTGATTTTTGGCTAAAATCATGTATTTTTGTTTGGCACCTTGTTTAACATGCAAACCGTATGTGTTATTGTGAGATTTTGTTTTTAAGTCAGAGAAAAAGGTTCAAATTCTATGCCCAAAGAGTTTTTGCAATTGATTATTATTTTTGTAATTGATTATTAGTATCTTAAATGCTTACACTTGTTCCTTAGAAAACTGCAGTTACCGTAAGGAAAGTTATCACCATTTTAGGGTATGGGCCAAAATGGGACTTAAGATTTCCTGTATTACCTTGATAAGGCCCAACAAATAGTTCTGCTTCCCATTACATGGCATATGAAAACAGGGTTGGTAGGTAAGGATTTTTTTGTTTGTGTACAATCATATATGGAGGCGTTTGCGTGTAGTCAAGGGTGAAAGGGAGAAATTGATTGTTTTGGGTTCTTTTTTTCTCATTTTTCCCGTAAAACAAATTAGGGTAGGGGCTGTCAGAATAGGGTAGGTAGGGAAACCGGAAGCAGAACAGTTTACTATCATTTTTTTTGGCCTAATACATAGTTTAGTTACCAGCAAATAGATAGTATGCATTACTTTTATCAATGCATGTCCAGTTTGAGGAGACTTTTGAATCAAGACCTCCAACAAATCATGCATAGGCCTACGTTCCTTTTATATTACCAAAGTAAAAAAAGCTTAAACTGTTGTGCAACAGCCCACAAATAAAAGCTTACCACTTTGTATTCATTATGTTCAAATTGACTATCTGATTTTTGAAACCAATGCATTTAGTGGTGAGACTCCTTTTTGCGTCTCAAAGTGCCTGAAAATGTAAAGTTGTCGTGGAATCGCCCTTAAATAATTAGAATAAGTCAGGAGTAAGTCAAATCGGTTAGGGGTCAAATCGGTTAGGATATGCTGGGGTGAAATGGAGAAATGAGCAGCCCTATCTCCACTGAGAGGGGTCCAATAAAATTCTAAGTTCCAGTTCTACGAGGACCTCAACACCACCATCAGAGGTATCCCTGTCGTAGAACAACTGTATCTCCTTGGCGAATTCAACGCCCGAGTGGGATCTGACCACAACTCGCTCGCTCACGTTGGCGTTGGGAAGCTAACTGAGAATGGGCTGAGGCTGCAGAAGCACCTCAGATCCCGTCACTGGCTTCAGCTCATCATCACAGGAAGACCCTCACGAAACTGCGTTCTCATCACACGCAGCGCTGACTGTAATACAGACCACTCCCAAATAAACAGATCCACCGCTCAAGGCAAAAAAGACGCCCATACTTCAAACATCGCCAGGACGTCAATCCCAGATCTGTGCAACACGAGGAATCTCCCTCCTCGGTATCGTTAAGAAGGCCTTCGCCCTTGTAGTGCTGAACAGATCGCAGCTGCTAGCTGAGCGCGTATAGCCTGAGAGGCAGTGCGGGTTCAGAGCTGAAAGATTAAAGATCGACATTATCTTCTCCATTGTCTTCGACTTACGGCAGCTCCAGGAGAAGTGCCGAGAGCAGCGACGACCGATGTACTGACCGCAGACCTAGCCGATGAAGCCCTTTGACCTTCGTCAGTAGAAAAGGCCTTTTCAGGCTATTGCAGAAGATTAGATGTCTCCAAGTCATCAAAAACATTCAACTCCATTACCTTATCAGCATCGGTCATATGATGTGCACAACAGCTGAGCACCGCCGAACACTGTCCGGATCATCTCTAGCAACATGTCTGCGACGAGGTTAACACAAAATCGAGTGCAAATACCTTACCAGTTCGTTGATGCGTCAAAAATCGGAGACAATTGGAGAAACCAACCCTCCCAATGAAGGCATATAATGTTTCCGGAATCATCTGCCATAGTTTGATACACCGTATGGGTATACCAGCAGAATGACTGGCAACGTGAGAAGTTTGAAGTGGTCAATGAGCCAGGACCAGCTATCAATAGGCTCCCTACTATACGAGCCGCACATACCCTACGAGCCGCACCCTACACTTGGTCAAAATCTACACTGGTACACTGCCCCAAAGCCTCAGGCCCCCACAGGAACCAAAGGGCTGACCACTACCACTCCGGTGCAAGGGCGGATCCAGGGGGGGGAAATTGGGCCATGGCCCCCCAAAAAACGAAACCATTTTTTTTTTTAATGTGACATCGCAATAAAGGCAGGCAATGAGTACACCACCATCTTTTCCTCAAAAAAACATTGGTTAAAGTGGTCCTCAAAAAAACATTGGTTAAAGTGGTCAGAAATTGCCTCAGATCGCACCACAGAGCATCTAGAATCCAAAACATTTTCGGGGCCCTTGCGGGCCCCGAACACCACGCCGTAATTTTTTTGACCCACTGTTGGGGTGGACCAAATTTTTTTTTGGCCCCCCCCCCGAAAATTTTTTTTTTCTGGATTCGCCCTTGCTCCGGTGAGAGACATACAAGACCTGAAGGACCGGCTCCCAACGCAGTTTGATACTTTCGACGACTTAGATACGCGCTCTCCTACACCTCAAGCCAGATACTCATGCAGTCCCATAGGTGCAGCTTTCATGTCAAACCAAAACCGCAGGCCGAGCTGAAAAAGACTGAGAAAGGCTGGGTCATACGAAAAGTCTCCCATCACACGGACGGGTGCAGCTCTACCACAGCAACTGCCAAAACAAAAGGCCCGTTCAGGATGTGTCCAGATCCCAAGCAGCTAAACACATAATGTTTTCTAAAGATCCCCACTCTTGAGGAGCTCAAGGCAGAATTTGCACTGGAAAAGTTCTCCTCCAAGCTAGACGTCAAAAGCAGGGTATTGATAATAATAATAAATAATAATAATAAAAGAACATTTGTTAAGCGCCGGTATCCGCCAAAAATAGGCGCTCATGGCGCTCGAGGAGAAAGTCAAGTTAAGATTGTGTGTTGTGAGAGTAAGCTTGTTTGTACAGGTGAGATTTTATGTTTGTCTTAAATGTTGTGATGGATGGAGATGATTTGATAGCCAGAGGGAGTTGGTTCCACACTCGGGTTGACGCTGCCGCAAAGGATCTGTCACCCCACAGAGTGGAGGTCCTGGGCTCGTGAAGCATCATGAGCTCACTGGAGCGGAGTCCGGTGCGTGCTGTTGAGTACGGGTGGATGAGGTCGATGAGATACTCCGGCGCATTGCTGTGGAGGATTTTGAACACGAATAGGCCAAGTTTGTATTTAATTCTGTATGATACTGGAAGCCAGTGGAGATCTGCTAGTACAGGAGTGATGTGAGAATGTTTACTAGTGAGAGAGATTAGTCTGGCACTGATGTTTTGTAGTCGCTGCAAACGGTTTAGTTGATTTAGGTTAATGCCATACAATAGTGAATTGCCCATGTCAATTTTGGATGTGATGAAAGCGTGAACAAGTATTTCAGTTGTGTGTTTGTCAAGATATTTTCGTATGTGTCCGATGTTACGGATCGACATGCAGACTGATCTAGAGATTGATGTAAGGTGAGGTTCCATGGATAGAGATGAATCAAAGATAATACCAAGATTTCTGACTTGATTTGATGGCATGATGGTTGAATCACCAACCCTTATAGATGGAACATGAACTTTGCACGATTGCTGCTTTGAACCTATGATGATAAATTCGGTCTTTTCATCGTTGAATTTAAGCCAGTTTTGAGTCATCCAAGAACGTACGTCATCAATGCATGTTTCCATCTGCTGGATTGCTGAATCAACCTTGTGTTGTTGAGGGTCTACTGACATGTATAATTGGGTATCATCTGCATAACAATGATAGGATATACCATGCTTTCGAATGATTTCACCAAGTGGCATTGTATACAGAGAGAACAAGACGGGCCCTAGGACTGATCCTTGAGGTAGCCCAAAATCAAGAGAGACAGTAGATGAACTTGAATCATTGACCCGGACAAATTGAGATCGGTCATTAAGGTATGATTTAAACCAGTCTAATGCAACTCCATCTATCCCAATACGAGTGTATTGGTCTGCTCATCCAGGGCAGTCTAAAAAACTGACAACATACAATTTGGTTGTTAACAGCTTTCGTCGCCCATTCATCGGCTTTTCAGTAAGCCAAGATAATAGTCCCAAAAAATATTGATGGCAAAATCAGCTAGATGCCTTGATGCGTCACCGCGACGACATTGCAGTATTCGGTCTCCCTTGAAGAGCATGACGAGCGGTCGAATGTCTCATCGCCCTGATGGAAACTGCTGGTTCCTTAGAATAGATAGCAATGTCTCACACTACACCCCAAATTGCGCGGACAAAGTTGCTCCCTTCAGCGATCTTCTTCAAAAAGATGTACCATCTCTCTGGGAAGAGGACCATCAAGCTTCTTTTACAACCCTTAAACACTCCATCTCAACGCAGTCCTGGCTACGATTCTCCGACACACAGGTATAGAAACCATCCTCAAAGTAGATGCATCTGAAAGAGGATTGGGCAACACCCAGGAAGGTAAACCCATCGCATTTTCCTCAAAGAGCCTATAGATCCTCTTCCCAGAGCATATTCTCGAAATCGAGAGAGAAGCTGTGGCACTGCTGCAACTTCATTCGACTCCAACTTCATTGTTGTCACTGACCATTAAAACCATTGGTTACGATCTGGCGCAAAATCCTAGACAGTACGCCACACCTCTTGCAGCGTTTTAAGCTACAAGGATACAACTTCGACGATGTCTACAAACCTGGTGCTATGATGGTGATCGCAGATGCACCCGGCAGATTGCCCAACCCCTCCAAGCTCGACAACGAGACATGTGATGAATCTGTAACTTAGATACACTGGGATGGGCACCCGACTGTAACTTATGTAACATTGTTTTGTCCGCCTATCTTTGGAATAAGTTTACACATTTAAGATACCAATAATCAATTACGAAAACTCTCTTGGCATAGTATTTGAACCATTCTCTCTGACTTAAGAACCAAAACTCACAATACCACTTATGATTTGCATGTTAAAACAAGGTGCTAGAATGATTTCCCCAAATCCATGATTTGAGCACCATTTTTTTTTTTTACCAAAAAAGGGCTTTTTGGCAAAAAACCCACCCTGTACTACATTCCTTCCCACTGACATACCACTCAAATGAAAGATCTTGCTGTTCCCTTTAACCCTAAAAGGGCCGGGGGGGGCGGAATCCGCCCCCCCCCTCAACATTTTCCGCGATAGCTTCTAAAAAAAAATTTTTCGCGACCCGAGCTATTATGACTTTTTAGCCTCGAGCTTTGCGCATCTTTTGATACCAAAAACATAAAAATCGGACCACGGGTTTGCACGTAGCGAAAAATTTTCCGGCGCTATGCGCCGTGAAAACTGAATTTTCGCATATACGTCGTGTACACCGCGCAGAATTGGCATTCATTCATATGAATAATTAATTAGCCATAATTCCAAAACCCTTTGACCTATAGTCATGAAATTTCTTGGGCATGTTGAGGAAGAGTTGTTCTATGCATGTAGTGAGTTTCAAAAATTTTCGTCACTCGATGGCAAAGATCTTAGGGGGGGCGGAATCCGCCCCCCCCCCGGCTGAGAGATGGTCAAAATAACCCGGCCCCTTTAGGGTTAATTGATACCACATTTGTTGTTGTGATGCTTGTCGTTCTGAAGATATTATCAATTTATATGTTTTTCGTGTAATAATAAGCTGTTGACGTCATAATGACGTCATACATGCCCTTCCCATCATCCAATTTTTTGCGTCCGTCTTTTTTTCGAAAAGGTATACCATGGAGATGCTTTGGTTAAAAATGGTGCTTTTGTCCACCGTGTCACGATCCTTGGCATTTTCGTCATTAAGGTACCTCACTACCTGGCACCCACTCAAACAATCATCTGAAGATGTATGCCAAATCATGACGTCATCATGACGTCATCGCGTGTCACATGACGTCCTCCTAAAGGTGCATACTTTAAGACCCTATATCTACAGAACCGGAGGTCCAATTGGGTTCAAACTTGGTATGCAAAAATTCCGGGACGTGTTATAGACAATAATTGCAGTGACGTCACGATGACGTCATCATGTGATTTTATATAAATTATGCAATATTTGGACCTTTTACTCAAATCTCATCAATGGAACATGGTAAATTCAAAATTCTTTTTGTAACATGTTTGTTAGGTGAAAGATAGATGCACAAAATTTCATAAAATGTGTGACGTCATTATGACGTCATCAAAAACGTGTTTTGTGATTCACATATAAGTGTATGCTCGATCGTAATGAAACTTGGTGGGTAGGTAAGTAGAGATAAAAGCATTAAAAATCTGAAATGACGTCATCATGAGGTCATCGTCTGATTTTGTATGAATTTTTTTAATTTTAATACTTTCCTCATTAATAAAACGGTCGAAACAGCTCAGTGTTTGTCCACAAACACATTTCTATTTTTTTTTATTTCTTTTTGTCGCCAAAATCCCACAGACTTTGTGCACGTTTTTTCTGGCCTCCACTTTTGGTATTAATCTTTGTCATACATCATTCAAAGTTACCATAAGCATAGTCCCTATAGCAAAGATGTGTCCCGAAGAATGACGTCATGATGACGTCATCGACTAATTTATTATAAATTTTTGAATATTTAATTTTTCCCATAGACTTTGTACACAGAAATCAAAGGGCATCTTTGTCCAAGCAAAGACCCTAATTCAAGCAACATTGCGTAATGATGACGTCATGAGGACGTCATCCTGTGTTGATTTATAGGCAATTAAATTGTAGTTAAACTGTAGTTAATCTTTCTTCCTCATCAATATCTGATTGATGACCCTCCAAGGGTCTCAATTTTTGTCCCGCTCCCCGTTCTGTGAACCAGGTTCAGCTCAGCCAAGATCTCACGGAATACTACCGTAGAATCCGTCTGCGTGAGTTTTTCCTGGACAGTGAACCGTGTGAGCCAGAGCCTTTTCGAGTCAAGAGTTCATGGGTACCCCCCAAGAATCGTGTGCCAGCCATAGAGACATACGTTCAAGTTATCAATTCCCAAGTCACTTACCCGGACAACTTCCCCCACAGGAATCGTGATAATCTCCCCAGAGAGGAGCGCCTGGCTCTCAACTCCTTGCACTCTCGCACCGACATCATCATCAAGCCAGCAGATAAAGGTTCAGCTGTGGTCATCATGGATCGTCAGCAGTACATTGATGAGGCCCACCGCCAGTTGGATAATCGCATTAACTATACCCACCTTGACTCTGACCCCACAGGCACTTTCTGTCGAGATATACAACAGGTACTTGACGATATGCGATCACGTGACCAGTTGTCCAAGAAAGCTCACAAATTTCTTTCTCCCTGTGATTGTAGGACTGCCAGATTTTACCTTCTACCCAAGATTCACAAGGCTGGCAACCCCGGTAGACCCATCATCTCCGGTAATGGCTCACCCACGGAACGCATCTCCCTGTTCATTGACAGTTTTCCCCTTGTCCCACAGATTTCCTCATACATTCACGACACCCCAGACTTCCTACGCAAGCTTGAAGGAATCAATGACCAGATTCCCAGCACAGCCACCATTGGGACTTTCGACGTCTCATATCTGTACACCAACATCCCACATGAGGAGGGTGTTCGTGCTTGCTCCTTGGCTCTGGCCAAGGCAGGACACACGACTCCTCCCATCAGTGATGTTGGCACCCTCATGAGACTTATACTAACGAAGAACAATTTTTCCTTCCTTGGTGAACACTATCTACAGGTACACGGCACTGCAATGGGCACTCCCATGGCCCCGTCGATGGCTTGCCTCTTCATGGGCGACCTCGAAGAACGCATTCTTGCCTCGGCCCCATGTCGCCCTTGGATCTGGTGGAGATATATTGATGATGTTTTTGTCATCTGGACCAGTGATGAGGACAGTCTCTTGACCTTCACTAACCACATCAATTCCTTCCACAGAACCATCAAATTCACATCGGAGTTCTCGGCTCACCAAACCCACTTTCTGGATGTCACCGTCCGCAAGCAAGGCAACTCACTAACCACTGACCTGTATTCCAAACCCACAGACACCCACCAGTACCTCCACTCCTCCAGCTGTCACCCCAGGCACTGCAAAACTGGCATGGCGTTTAGCCAGGCACTCAGACTCAGAAGAATTTGTTCTAATGATTCCGATTTCTCCCGCCATACACAGATACTGAGGAACAACTTGGTGGCCAGGGGTCACAGCTCTCGCCAAGTTCATCGTGCCGTTGCCAGAGCTAAAGCTATCCCCAGAAATCTAGCTCTCACGGGAAAGGCCCCTGATGCCATGGCCAAACCCATAATTCCCTTGGTTACCACGTTTCACCCCAATCGCCCTCCCCTTCGCAAAATCACTAATGACAATCATCATATCCTCCATACTTCAGATCGCCTTGCCCGCGCCATCCCCAACGGCCCCACATTGGCTTACAGGCGTCCTCGAAATCTACGGGACTTGATTGTTCGAGCTGAAGTCCCTTCCTTAGATGCATCCCCTCCCACCCAGCATGGTACTTTCAAGTGCAGTTCCAGATGTGTTGTCTGCCAGATTCATATCCAGGAGTCTGACTCCTTTTCTGGCCACTCTTCTGTCACTACCCACAGAACCATTGGTAACATCACTTGTAACACCTCCAATGTCATATATCTCATTTCTTGCAGGGTCTGTGGAGTGCAGTATGTAGGCGAGACTAAGAATACGCTCAAGAAGCGTTTCTATGCCCACCGGTCAACGGTCAACACCAAGAAACTAGACACCCCTGTTGGTCATCACTTCAACCTGCCTAACCACTCCATTTCTGATATGATTTTGCAGGGCATTGAATCTCTTGGCCATCGCAAGGACTCAGTTCGCCTCAGCAGAGAGAAAGATAATCCATCTGGTCTTCCTTGTTTGTGTCTACCCATCTTCCCCCATCTTTTATCCCTTTCCACCTCAATACTGTTCCCCCCCCCCCCACATCATCCCTTCACTCTCACACTCTTTTGTCCGTTCCCACTCCCTGTGACCTTTGATCCTTCCCCTTTCTGGTCCCTCCCCTGTTTACACAAGACCCCTTGTGGTTTGCCATCTCCCTTTGTTTCTTTGTTCTCTCATCCACCCTACCCTGCATCTTTCCACACGTTTCCCACCTAATCCTCCTTTTGTGTTTCTTCTTTCAGCCCTGCATGTTTGTGTGCAGCCCCATGTTAATGTATGTACCTCTGTCATTTCTGTTTTAGCCTCTGAAGAAGAACTTGCTAAGTTCGCAACGTCAGGCCACATTAATTTTAAGAGCAATTAAATATTGACACTTTTAATATTAAAAAATGCATAAGAAATCAACCGTATGCGTCCGCAGCATTCTGTTACCGGCAAGTGGTAAAGTAGGTTGAGGTCACGTGAAATCACGTGACCCTTGCTTCCGGCCAAAACCGGAAGTGGCTTGTTATTTGAAAATGGTAATAGATATGATCTTGCTTTCAACGGTGTTAGTCTTTCGGCTAAAAGTATTCTTCAAATCATCTTCCAATGACGCCATGCAATCTTCAAGCGCCCTCTAGCGACAGGTTGAAAATTTGCAAAAATGTATTTTGAATAGATGTCTGTGGCGAAGTTTGTCGGGATCGCCTAAATATTGGTGTATATGATAACCTTGACCCACTTGTGAAGTGTGCGAAGTTTTAGGCTAATGACGTCATTAGACCGGAAGTTATAATAAAAAGACCCTTTTTCATTTGAAAATTCCTGAAAAATCAACCATAGCAGTTTTTATGTTAGTTTTTACTTTAATTGTCAATTT